TTCTGGGGGTGCATCTGTTCTTCCCTTGCACCATTCCCTCCTCTTAATCAGTGTGGGATTCTAGCTAATTTTGTGAGTGGAAGGAAGTACCATATGAGAAGTTATAATTTTCCTATAGAGGTAGTGGCACATAGAGGGAGTCACATGTACCACGTGAGTATATTATTCTCCTATTGGTAGAAATGTAGCGCATGATGATTTACATGAGAGCCATGCTAGAATCACTTAATTCCAATAGGGGGGAACAGAAATATATTTACAGTATAAAAAATTCTAACTTTTCATTATTATTCTTTATGAAGGTATATAGTTGATGGGTAGAAACTGATTTATACTAGTTTGCCAATAGTCTATGCATAAGTGCCTAGTTTTAGGTATGGGCCAGATTCTTTACAGTAGATGTCTGTGACTTGTTGGTGATAAATTTCAACAATAAATAAATAGCACACAGTCCACTTGTTTCAAAATAATATATTCAAACAAATCAAACGTATATACAAATGTTAGTAATACAGTTGTATCCAGAGCTTTAAATAATTGTCTGCACAGGTTTGTTCTTTACTCTCTATATCACCTGTGTAATTTGTTACATCCCATTCCTTACTACATGCTTCTCATGTTGAGGATTACTTGGGTTTTTCCATCTTATTCAGGCAAACATGCATATGCTGACATGTTTCTGGATTAGCTTTGTTCACATTCTCATATGCTTCATTGTCATTTACTCCAGGATTCCATTGCCATTTCTTTTCCATCATAACTAAAAGATGTCTCTCAATAGCTATAGAACCAGAAAAAAATATTTAAATCTGAATGGAACAAAATATTTGAATACTATGCAAGAAATAAATGTTAGATTTAACATTTATCACCATACCTTTGAGTTAGTCTGATGAAACTTAGAATCATTTATGCAAATTGTGTTGGGTGTCAGTATTCAACATAAATTATATTTCAATCCATGAAGCACATTTTGAAAGCATGATGAACATATTAAGTACACTTAAGAATAATTACTGGTATTTAGAAATTCCTCAAGATTTTCAATTGGACCACCTGATATTCGTTTTAATATGTTTTGTAAGGAAGAATTCCTTGGTATGCTTGGTGTTGCAATTGTAAGTGATGAAATTGGTGTTGAAGATTTAAAAGGTGGAGTTGCTTTAGCTTGAATATCTGCTTGTTTTTTTTGCTACCCTGAAGGAAGTGCTCGGTTGTACTGTGAATAAAATGACAAGCATTAATATTACCTGTTATACATAACGTGGCAACACTATGTTTTTCTATCACAGTTAGTATATTCAAATGTAGCTGAATATTTTCTTGGAATTTATTAAGTTTTGGTTAAAAACTTTACATCAGTTGTCAAAGTTAGAGAGAGGAATTTCTGGCAGCTGAAAATACTGACTGTCCTTTTATCTTTGATTATTTTATAACTGAGTTTGTATGGTTCTTCATCTAACTCTGTATCATCCATAAGTCAGTGTGGTCTGTGAAAATGAAAAATATGGTGTCTTAAAACTTGTGATCTTATTATACATATGTGCTACCTGAAAACAATAGTAAATAAAAGATGTGAAAATGTGTCATACTTGGTATCCCAAGTCACATCTAGGAGAATTGACAGAGGTTGGGAATGTCCCACATCTTTTTGTGTTTATTAGTTTTAGTAGTTAAAATATTTCAACATATTTTATATTTAGTGATTAAGATAACATTAATGCAGATGTTCCAAAATTGTGGTCCCTGACCCCCTGGGGTCCGCAGTAATACATCAAATTTATGATATTACCAATTGCTGAAAGTATAACAAATAAAATAAAATGCTAAGACATTATAACACTGATATAGTAATATATATATATATATATATCCCAAATTAATAATTGTAATTAACATAAATTGAATTATGTAAATGCGTTGTGAGCTTGGCACCGTTGCCTACCAATTGCAAAAAAGAAGACAGTTGTTTTCCAGTTGGATTGATGCATCACTACAGTGTGTACATTAGTGTCACAATTAATAGTTATTACAATAATTACATGGTTACTACTGGTGTCAGTAACAGTGAGTTATAATTTGGTTCAATAATGTTTTGACATTTTTAAGTTACCCATAAAATTATGGATCAGTGGCTTAAATCTAGCAAAATAACAAACTGCAAGCGTAGTGACATGAGTGGTAGCCCTATTGCATCAGGCTCAAATGTTGGAACTTTGGAGCATGAATCAAAACAGAAAAGGCATAAATATTGTGATGAATATTTAGCATGTGTTATGATGTATTATCTAACAAAAGCATGAAACCATCCAAGCTTCGTAGGCATCTTGAAACAAAACATAATGAATATATTAGCAAATCTGTTGAATATTTTCAAATTAAAGAATGTGAAATGCATAGAAAATAAACAATATTATGTATGCTAGTTATCTGAATAGGATGTGTGCTGGTTATCTCATTAGGATGTGTGCTGGTTATCTTGTGGCAAAGTTTCAGTCATGTGTTTGAAGTGCATGATGAAATATGCTTATTTTTAAGTGATAAAAAGTTTCACTTGAGGGAACTCGTCAATGAATTTTCTTGGCTGACTGTTGTGATCTATTTATCTGACATATTTACTCATTTGAATGGACTAAATTTAAGCCTTCAAGGGGCAGCCATAACTATATTTAAAGTTGAAGAGAAAATAGAAGCTATAATAAAAAGGTTTGATTTATGGGCACATAATATTCAAAATGGTAATTACGAGTCATTACCAACACTCAATGCTTTTCTTGAACAATCTGAGAAAAAACTTTCTGATAAGGTGCAAAACATTATTATTCAGCATTTGCAAAATTTGAAAATAGATTTTAGAATCTACTTTCCTCCTCCCGATTCCAATAGTAAGTGGATCAGAGATCCATTTAATGTGGACATTTTATGTGTTGAAAATTTAACTGCAGTTGAAGAAAATAGCCATATTGATCTCTCATGTGACACTTCACTAAAGTCATTTTTTGGCCAAACTAACTTGACTGACTTTTGGTTACATGTGAGATGTGATTATCGTGAACTGTCATTTAAAGCAGTAAAATATTTAATGCCATTTTCTACAACTTATTTATGTGAGCAAGGTTTCTCTCAACTTGCTTATAAAATGGAAGTATAGAAATAAGATAAATGTTGAGCTGAATCTTCATTTGAAACTGTCAGACATTGACCCAGAAATTTGCAAGATTGTTTCAGCAAAACAGTATCATTCTTCACATTAAAATAAGTTGTAAGATTTTTTATATTTTCCATATTTAAATTTCTTAAAACTAGAATCAAGCTGTAACGGTAGTAAAATCCACATATGATACATCAGTTACTATTTTTAACGAGAGGTGGTCTGCCAATACAGTAAAGAAGTTGAAGGGGGTCCATCAGTTGGTAAAGTTTTGGAACCCCTGCATTAATGCATTGACGTAGTTAACTTATATTGACTTTGTCTGTTAAGCATGAAGTCAAATAACATATCAAAAATAATTTTTCACATGTTGCAAGTGTCAAAAGTTTTGTAGTCAAACCACTAAAGAATATAATAATTTATGTAACAAAACATGGCTAATTCTGTAGAAATAATTTTGAAAATATAAGTATACTAAAGCAATGTCCAATAAAGCATGAAATATTAAATTTTTGTAAATACTGTATGAGTATATCCTCACAAAAGTTTGTTGTCCTCACTTCACTTTCCAAACACCTCTACTCCAAGGTTATATTTAATTAATACTCTTATTTTTTATGGTGTGTGTGTGTGTGTGTATATATATATATAATTTGATTAAGTTTGTTCATTTGAAGTTCATAGGTATCAAAAACAATACTTGCTAATTTTATAGTAAGAGTATCTATATTTACCTCCCCAATCACATTATTTGGGTGAATACCTAAAATGATGTGCAGAAGTTAGGAGTTACAAAGAATTACAAATTATAATCATATGTAAGAAATTGCCAGTACCTATTATCTCATTCACACAATTGGGCTTTGACCCTTAATTACAGATACCTCAGTACATTATTCCAGGGATCACTATGTTAAGTCTTAATTAAGAGCATCATTTAGTTTTAAATGAAATAACAATGATTGGTTGTTTTACGTATAACTGTGACTTAAAAGTTTTTGAAACAGTTTAATGTAAGATTAAACATTTCCTTTTTTTGATAAAAAATTATTAATTCTGGAAATGTACATTACATTCACTGCAGTTTAGGCCTGTTAGGTTGTTTCATCTTCAGTTTGCAAGTCTAAAGTAACTTCTGCTCAGAGAAGCTTTAATCAAGCTGCTTAATGTGTCGTTGAAGTTTAAAATTGTGTTAATTATGTTTACATATTACTTTGTACACATTTAAACCTTAGAAATGTATGTAAGATATATAATGTAATGAAATATTTATGCAGAATGATACCCTTATATGAAAAAATACATATTATGAATAGTTTGTAAACTAATATTATATCCTTAAAATTTATTTTAAAGTTTTGAACTTATGCCATAATACACCTACCACATAAATTGTAATCTTAAATAACTCTGTAATTAAAGAATGAAGAGTTATATTTTTTTAACTAAGAATATCTACCTGCAGAATAAACTATGCAAACATATTCTAACCAGTCAGCAGTAGGTGTTTCATTATTCTATACAGTTCTTCTTATTGGATTTATATGTGTGTATTTGTGTAAATATAATATAAAATATATCATGACAAAACAGGAAAACCATTCATACAGAATAAAAAAGCTAAGAAACATGGCAGAGTCGACTCTGCATTTCAGAAAGAGGGGTTTTGTTCTCTTTGTTGTTCTACTGTTTATGTCTAACCACTTAAAATAACATGTGTATACCACATGAAAGAAGAAAGTAACACCATAAAAAATTATATTCACTGTTCTGAAATGCCTATTTCTTTTGTAGATGATGTAATTTCTCATTATTGTTTTACATTATACATTTGATATTCGTGTTTCAGGAGTGAAAGTACTATTTCGAGTAGCTATAGTTCTTCTGAAGCAGCAGTTAGGTAGGTCAGATATAACCAAGCAGTGTCCATCCATGTATGAAACACTAGAAAGAATTCGTATGATTCCACCTGAGGTTAGTCAGGAAGATTTCCTTATTCAACAAGTGAGTTTTTTTTAATGATGTTATTGTAAAGAAACTCAAATTTTTTCATATTGAAAGTGCAATTCAGTGTTTACATCATCATTCAGATACTCTTGAAAAATTCAGATTTTGGATTAAGTAAAACACATTGCCATTCATAAATTCAACTGTATTAAATGTAATATTTAATTATATGTGTACTGATTTACCATAAATATTAACAAAAATTATAATTACTTCTATGTCATGCCAACTTTGTAATATTAAGTCAGTAAACAAACAACATTCTGTAAGGGCTTTATCAAGTTTTCATGCAAATATTCTTTTTTTAGAATATATTTACACTTATTTCAACCTTGAAGGACAAAAAATTAACTCTGGTTTTTTTTAAAAGGTAATTCTAAATTAAAACAAGGTACAGAACAAAAAAAAAGTTTTATATGAGTTCATACCTCTTTTTTTGCAATGTAGTAAAACCAGAATCCAATACTTTTTTCACTTACAGTGTAATGTAGTTGAGCTCAGATTTACCCACATTTGTGTAGAATT